ATATTTTACTCTAAGTACTATGGAGAAGACCTTCAGGAAGACCTACAGCAAAGAAATGCACATAGAAACTACTGGAATAGGCATAAGATTCAATCTAAGGACAAAAAGAATGGTTATAGCAACTATAATCATATCAGGCAGTGCATACAGTCTTACAGCATAAGACTCAGAGTGAGCAGCAAACCAGAAGACTTCAAATTGAATTGTACAGACTACAATGGGCATACACATGACAAGAATACAGGAATTGGTCTCACAGGCATTCAAAGGCACATACAAGAAGAATCAGGCTATGTACTAGAGAAAGTACAATGTTTCAATCGAAAGCAAGACTCGTATTATGTCACAAATGGTTGTACACATAGTACAGAAAGAGCTCAGTATATCTCAGAAGCTGGATTACCTTCAGAGAACTTGGAAATTGATTATGCTACACTAGGAAGGAGTACAAGAATGCTAGGAAATGGAAGCTATTGGAATTCGAGTATGAACAGTTATACAAACATTCTGCCATTTTCTATATTTCGAATAGATCCACTGGTACAGCAGGCATGCTCTACAGACAGTGAGTATGAATTGAGAACTCCAGAGGAAGACTTATACATGTTTAGCAAAGAATTCGACACTCTACAACAGGTATCAGGCATAGGAAAGCATGATTCGAGACCGTCATTATGCTCAGACTACATAGAAGTACAGATTATATTCGTATATACTCTAGCGAGAGTAAAAGAGCATTCGATACAAAGATACAGACACAGGAACAGACATTTCCACTGTAACAATGAAGAAACAGCATGTTTTGGCACACAGAGATGCTTTGAGAAAGGAATATTATATCTTCCAGATTGGAAATGTGACAAGACACTCAGGAGTCAACATCAGCATGATATATTCTATATACCTAGGCACTCAGAGACACATTTAATGAGTAAACACTATTGCAAGCAAGCAAATGAGTACTCATTTGAGGACAAGAACACTTTTTTACAGTATATTGACACAGTACAACAGTATATTTCATTCAGGAACACATCATATTCATCCATGGACATAACCAATGATTGGAGAACCTTAGCACCAGAGAACAATTTCGATTCTGAATTGTTTGAGTACATACATGAGCTTTCAGTCGATAAGAAACACCCATCACATGATGATGCATACAGCTGTGCGTGCAACTACTCATGCAGATCAGTATATCATACATATATGCACCTAATAGCCATATATTTCAGCGATTTTGACACAGTTGAACAGTATACAGTGTACACAAAGGATCATAAGGTATTCGTGATAAATTCTGCAGGATCTACAGTTGGAATTAGCAACAAAATCATGACAGTGACAATGAATACTTCAGTACTAGTAGATTTCACACACACCAGAGTTGCGGACCAAATTAGCGTTAGAAAAGTCATTCTAGGCAAAACACTACTTACTCAATCGAGAGTACACAGGTCAGGATCAAGGATAAACTACTGTACCATTGCAAGAATGAAATACGGCTCAAGGAAATTGATACAGCACTTTAATATCAGGCAGTTGGATAACTGTAATATTATACTAGGAACAGTGATTTTTATTCAGCACAACATTTCTACAGGATTTGATACGTCTATACTATGGATTAACAGTGCAATACGTCTATCAAAGACAGGAGAACAAGTCTCAGAGGCATACATTGAGGATATCAACAGTTTTGATCGAGAAACTAAGGAACTTGCACAGGTAATTGACAATTGCAATACAGAATTGTATCAGGAAATAGTGGACATGCCACAACTACCTCTCAGAGTCATCAAACAGATGAAATTTCTCAGTAATAAGGACAAAGAATGTCAGTTTCACAGAGAAATACACCAGGATACTTGGCAAAAACAATTGCAATTCAAGAGAAAGTATCATATCTGCACCAGAAGATTCAGTATCACTACAGAATTGAAAGTAATGACCACACTACTGCTTCAGAAGCTCAGAAAGATCATAGAAGACCCTATAGGACTAAGAACAGTCAGCGATCTCACAGAGCAAAGCAAGGAAACCAAGGAATATTCGTTTCTATCATTAGATATTGGATTTACTAGGCATTCAGTATACAATGGACCTCAGGAGACACATTTCGTTCGGAAAATCAATACCAAAGTATCAGAATACGTATCAGGATATTCAGTACTCATCAAAAGACAGACTAGTTGTCTAAGAATTGTCATGGCATTCGAGAACATCAAGAGATACAATCTACAGGATATTGAGGCTACAGTAGACACGTTAGCATACAAGGACTTAGGAATTATGCAAAAGACAACTTGATACATAGAGAATTATGCTTCGAAATATAGCGACGATGACCCAGAAAGGTTATATCAGATGCAGACTAGCATATCTCAGCTTTTAGAAAGAAAATACAGCACATATATTGAGCATAGGACCAGTTTCCTTCGGAAAACATTGCTAGAAGACACAATAGTAGTACATCCACATAGTAGAAAGGCCAGAACAATTTGCAAAGGCATAGAATTGGACCTCCAAACGGAGGGCGAGTCTACTAGGAGTACCATACATTGACTCAAGGCACCAGACAAAGCGAAAGTACTCAGCAAGTTGGATATTCAGCAGACAATACCAGAAACGTCACCCCAGAGCAATGAACGATCGAATTTGCAAGAATTCATTCAATTGGCACACAAATTGGATACGAAAATTGACAGACAGGTATTTGAACATCATGAGAATGGTATTATCATTGAGGAACATGAGCAATGGAATTCAGTATTCAAAAGCAACACAGAGGAAACGCAATACTAGAATGTATCACAGAATATGGACAATATAGCTCAATTACCATTGGAAACAGACTTTGCACAAGGTTTCAAAGACCAAAAACATGAAGGAAACCCATTCAGACATTGAATATTAGATTCAGAACGAATTCAGAGATCCTACAACGAAAATGCATTCATATTTCGCTGGGAGGGCGAGAGGTACATACTTCAGCATACATTTTGCATTATCAGGACTCCACTACATGTCAGGAACACTAGCAAAAGCACAGGAAGACTTGAATATTTGTTTCGAGCACACAGTACATCTAGGAATACATTTGCATATCACAGAGAACGACTACACTACAAGAATACGATTGCAAGCAATGATTTCAATTGCAACCCGCGTCAGAAGCATAGGATTGATGAACCAGACAACAGGAGAACGATTGCTTCAATACACACCGTTCTACTACTCAGTAGACCTCGAAATTACGAAGTTAAGTATTTGAGAAGACCTACTTCAAGACTCAGAAGTTACCCAGGACTTTCAGACAGAGTTAGTTTTGCTATTCGTTTAGTAAAATTCACAGCACACACAACTTTACCAAGTCAGGCACATAGAACAAAGAGAACATCACAAATCGACTTCGAATTTGTCTACAAGCTTCAAAGAATACAGGACTACATTGTCAGCAATAGATATTTGCTATTCAGGACCATCTATTCGAGACGAAAGCAAGAACTTATCAGCTTTACATGGGAATTATCAACAGCAAATAGTTTACAGACAAAACAATCGACTATAAGAAGGAACAGATCAATCGCACAGTTATGCACACAGTGCATTCTGACAGAACAGAAAGTCAGGACTTATACTCAAGATATCAATGAGTATTCAGACACAATCGCAAGATCAGAAAGTACAAAATGCACGTTGATATTGATAAACTACAGCCATGAGACAAGATATTCAATACAGAATGGATTCAGGACAGGTAATTGTACCAGAAACAGGACTTATGGTCAGACAACGGAGCATACAGAATTATGGGCAATCAATACAATGCTTCAGAGGAGAGATAAGTCGAATAGACAGACTTGTGGACGTTGGACAATGTCAATATTCGATCTACACAATCCAGGACATACTTCCATTGAGATTATGGAACTACAGGTATACAGAGCAACAACACTATTACCTAGGTACATAAGTACTTACAGAATTGTCAGGAATATAAAGTACAAGGCACTAGAGAGATATTTGCTAAGAGAAAGGACATTGCACTATTGCTATCAAGTATTACTTTCAATACTATTGTGCATACACAGACCTAACGAAAGCGAACTGTTTCAAGAAAGAGAAACAGTACAAGACATCAGTTCTAAGGAAAGAAACCAGGAAATAACACATACAGGCAAGGATACGAACGCTTGGTTGAAAGCAAGATGGAATACAAACAAACATAGATTGAGATTCCATGAGACAATCACACAGTTCAAAGTGATACAGGATTACTTAGAGATACAGATACATGCTACTGTTGATACATCATCTTCACAACTAGGAATACTCAATACTATGGATATTCGAACGAACAACAATCCATCGAGACACAAGGTAGCACAGCAGACACAGGAATACAGTATGGAAATGCAGGAAGAACTATCCAAAACGTTGGAAACAAGCGCATATAGTCAGTTTTGCAAGGTTATCAGCAATATTTCAAGCAATTCAAGCAGGGAACACATTGTATTATCATTGGAAGGCAAAGGTAATACACCTTATTGGCATTGGACATTGTTAGTGTCATCAATTAGGACCAGGAGACACACAATAGACCAGTACAAGTCTATTAACAACCTTGATACTACTATTAACTATGTTTTCGAGCACAAAGGACCACAGAACACTACTTTACTCCTTAGAAATACACAGGATACTTCCCCAGACGCCACTATTCATCTATTAGGACATCAGGCTACTATCCTACAGGAATACCAACTTTGACGACCCTTACGTTTGATAGCAAACTCGCTATTACGTTTTCAATACCAGGACAAGTATGCTAGGAGAGACCAGACACATCAAGACACAAGAACCACACAATCTGCTCAATTTGACACAAAACCCGTTCAATACTTTGCAAACCCAGTGAGCAACGCTTCAGGACTCAAGACAAGGAATCCAAATGGTCGACCGCGATTTCAGTTAACGTTGCAACAAGTTCTACAACCTGGAATACATACAATCTACAACAGAACCGACTCAGGACACCCCTTGGACTACCAGTGATACTTCTACAGGATTACCAAGTGCACCCCCAATTTTATACACTTATTGGTTGGTTTTCTATTACTTATTCGACTAATCTATCTATTATTCTTAGAGCATTTAGGACTAAATGCTGGAGGGTGTGTGTAACGATTGCACTCTTGTGCTGAGCACACGCAAGCACACTCCTTGCTATGAAGGTGTTGTGGGTGCTTGTAGGTGCTTTTTTCGTTATTAGTTAGCCTACTTGTATCCACTACACGTGTAACCGCATATAAAGAGTCTTCAGGCTAAGGGTTAGGGGATTCTTTTCCCCTTCTCAACGCTTGATTACTGATTACCCCAGTCAGTGTATTGAGTGCACTGGTAAAGAAGAGAATCTTCCTCATGTAAGGCTATTCTACATATCCTTACATCACAGAACAGGCAGAGAGAGAGAGTGAGACAAGAGTAGAGTATATAGAGTGAGCCTAAGAGTACAGGACTACCTAGAGTAGACAAGATCAAGACTACAGGACCAGTCTGATCTTGTATACCTATATATACTAAACTACACAAGAGCACTCAGGGAGTATGAGCTACTAAGAATGATAAGCCATGAAGAATGAAAGAAAGGAATGTCAAAGATAAAGGTACAAAGAATGAAGGGATGGACAAAGGGTAAGAGACTATAGAATGAACAGAGAATAAAGGAGTGGTCAAAGGAATGGAATGATAAAGTAAGGAAGGGTAGTAGTAAGAGTCAGCACACATATAGTCTATAAACAGTGCCTCTGAGGGACAGAAGTCCTGAGTTCTAGTACAGAAGGGTGTAGAACCCTCAGAACTGAAGGTAAGAGAGCAGAGAATTGTAACACCTACATACAGTAAGCTCTAAAACACACACAGGACTAGGTTATAGTAAAACAGTTAGAAAAGTAGGCTAGGGATTAGAAGGAGGATGAGGATGGACAGGTTTACTAGGAAGGCCAACTGTACATTCTAAAGAATCAGAAGCTGTAGGAGGACATTGTCTAAGCTTATTACAACAATCTGACTGTAGGACATTCAGGCTGACACAAAATGCAGGAACTCATTACTTAGAACTACTAGTAGCTAGGAATGTAGAAGGAAATCCTAAAGTATATGACTGGTTGTAATATGTGCCAACAGACTAAGGCCTACCAGACAAGGGTTCAGACTCTCCTACACCTGTATTAGATCCTAGATCACTCTTAGGAAGAAGTCTTAGTAGACCTGATTAGTAAGCTACTCAAGTCTTAGAGTTACAATACTATCTGTATGATTGTTAACTGATTCTCTAAGCAAGTCTACACAGTTCCAACCTAAACAGAACTCACTTCTGAAGGTATGGTACACATTTATTAGGATCACATCTTCTAGTTGCACAGACTCCCTTAGAAGCTCATTCACAATTACAGACTATAATTCAAGTTGAAATTCATGTAGGACTTGTATGTACTTCTTAGAATTCAAGGGAACCCTTCTACTACATATTACCTACAGACTGACAGTCAAACTGAGTGAGTCAATCAGGAGATTGAGCTCTACCTCTAGATGTTCATTAATCATTAGTAATTAGATTGGTCTGAATGGTTAGCTCTAGCAGAATTTGTGTACAATAACTAGTAACACTCTACAACAGGACAGTCCCTGTTCTTTCTCAATCATAAGAGACATCTGTACTAAGGAACAGTTCCAAACTAGAACATTAGTTCTGAATCTGTAACAGACTTTGTGAAACAGATACACAGGACTAGAGAGGACACACAAGCTCTTTTAGAGAAGGTAGTACAGGTTATAAAGTAGAACTATGATTGGAAGAGGTCTACAGTCAAGGATTACTAGCCTGGTGACAAGGTTATACTAGAAGCTACTAATCTGACCTTGAATCACTCAATAAAGAAGTTAGACAACAAGTGCTTCAGACCCTTTGTCATTGAAAAGAAGGTTAGTGCCTCTACCTACAAACTCTAACTTCTAACAACATAGAAGCACATACACCCTATGTTTAATAAGGTTCTGTTGTCTTAGTACTATGATTCCAGTTTTCCTTTGTAACAAAGACCCCCTCCACCCTTACCAGAACTCATCAAATTCAAAAGTTAGTAACAACTTAGGACAAAAGATGAAACTGTAATACCTTGGACTGTTTGTAGTAGTACAGAGAACAAAAGGAAACACTTATATTTGTCAGTAACAGTATAGAGGGGACCTGAAGGCTTAGTAAGGGGACCTAGGCTACAACTATCCTACACAACAGAAATACAGAATGTGAGTACTAGAACATAGTCAGAACTTGTAGAACAGGTAGAGAGAGAGAGTGAGACAAGAGTAGAGTATATAGAGTAAGCCTAAGAGTACAGGACTACTTAGAGTAGACAAGATCAAGACTACAGGACCAGTCTGATCTTGTACACCTATATATACTAAACTATACAAGAGTACTTAGGGAGTATAAGCTACTAAGAATTATAAGCTATAAAGAATGAAAGAAAGGAAGGTCAAAGATAAAGGTATAAAGAATAAAGGGATAAACAAAGGGTAAGAGACTATAGAATGAACAAAGAATGAAGGGGTGGTCAAAGGAATAGAATGATAAAGTAAGGAAGGGTAGTAGTAAGAGTCAGCACATATATAGTCTATAGACAGTACCTCTGAGGGACAGAAGTCCTGAGTTCTAGTACAGAAGGGTGTAGAACCCTTAGAACTGAAGGTATGAGAGTAGAGAATTGTAACATTACCCCCCCTCTAAAACCAATTGTCCTGATTAGTGAACATAGAGCTTAGTTAGTAGCTCAAGTATAGGTTAGAACAGTAGGGCTTGGAAATCTGTAAGGCTGAGTTTGTACAGAGTACTAGGATGAAGCTGATAGAAATCTTAGATTGTCTTAGGAGTATGAGTAAGGTTCTCAGCAGGTTCCTAAGTGTGCTCCTCAACTAGGTACCCTTTCTAGTAAACAAGGAATTTGAGTTTTCTGTGTAATAGCTTAGTATCTACTATGTACTCTACTTTGTATTCTAGTTCAGAGCACAGATTAGTACTAGTACACTTAGGGTAAAGTTGTAGTCCTTGATCTGATTACAATTGACTTCTGTAAAATGCCTTGTGTATCCTTTGTAAGCTTTCTGAACATGTTCTATCATTTGTGTAAGGTTGTCCAGTCTCTTTTGTAACTGTTGTGCTTGAATCACTACCAGTTCCTCTATCATTAGTAGTAATCCTTCAGGTAGAACTAAATATGTTGTCTTGTTCAGGTCAAATGGTAATATTGGCTCTACTCTATAAACAAGGTAATAGGGTAAGTATCCAGTCACTTTCTGAATTGTAATCCACTCTGCCCAGAACACAGAATGTGTATACTTATACTAATGTTCAATATTGTCTCCTACTGTCTTTACAATTACTTCCTACATGTCCAAATGTTTCTGCTCAATAATTCTATTCACACAAGAGTTATACACAGAAATCTGAATATGATTAATGTAGTATTGTTCTTACAAGTAGTCTAACACTATAACATAAGGCATTCTGTTGTCTGTTACAAGCTTGGGACATACTCTATATTAGTATAAAAGTTCTGCAAAGATAAACTGTCCTATTGCCCTTCTGTTCTCTGTACAAAGTATACAAAACTCTGAATACTCTAATAACAAGTAACACACATACACAATATATTAGAACCTTCCTACTTTCAGTATAACTTTTGTATCTATATGGATCTTTTGGAAAAGTAGTACAATCTTCAGAATACTTAGTAGAATCAGTACCTGTTGTATTTACTAAGTCTGACATACATAACAAGTCCTAATAAAGTACTTAATATCTTCTGTAAGAGATGGCTACTAGAATCAATCCAGTAACCAGGCTTGTACTACAAAGATTCCCTTGTGTCCTAAGTCCTTATGTACTGTCCTAACCAACTCCTATCTCCTGTCCTTATCTAGTACAATCCAATACTTTCCTTCAAGCCCTTAATGCCAAATCTTGTTATTCTGTACAAAGAACTGTACTACATATTGTATAAACATTAGGAAATCAGCATCTGTAATTCTGCTCAGT